TTTTCATTGTCTGACATTAAATCAAAATGCGTAAAATTGCATTTATATGGCGAAGAAGCTGTAGTATTTCCTTTACTGCACCAACAAGAAATATGTTTATGGCGAGTACTAATACTGATAGAATATAAAATCGAAAACAATGATGTAAATTATTTAAAAGACTTTATTTTTTTACAGATTGTTAATAATGGCAAACGATTTTGCTGTCGTAACTTTTCCAAACGATGGGAATAATGAAGAAGAAATTGTGTCAGAAGTTCCATCTTTATGGCTTTGCCCTAATTTATCGAAATGTTGGTGGCCAACAGTAAAAAATATAAATACTTTTATTGTGAAACAAATTCCACCAGTTCCTGATGATCCCAAGTGGTCATTTTATCCCATTAAATTTCATGGATATTACGGTAATTAATATTTTTCTTTATGTAGTTTTTTAAAATATTTCCTACAAATAATGTAATTTGTATAATAAAATATGGTTTTGTCCCAATGAAGATTCATTAGATCAAGCTAGACAAAAAGCAACGAATTATTCTTCAAGCAATGATAGTGACATAAATGAAGTACGAAAGAAAAAAAAAGATACACCTATTTTAAAAAAAAAACAGTCGCAAAAACCTATTGTTTCTGAGTCCGATTCCGATTCTGATGTCACATCAGTTATACCAAACCCGCCAGATTTTACAGATAATAATATCTCAGTCAACAACCCTTCAAATATTTACAATTCATTAACTGAAAATGTTGAAAATATTGACCTGGACATCATAGATGGAACTTTAGTATCGCACAAAAGTAATAGCTTATTTTTGTTTATTTCATTTATATATATTACATTTATAATATAATAAAACATCTTTAATAAAAATAATAATTACTGTTTAGTGATAATTATTATAAAATTTTAATATTTCGTTCTGTGTAATTATTCTAATATTTTAATATTTCTTTCTAGGCATAGATGATTTACATAAATTAATAACAAAAATGTCCGATAAAATAGAAGGTTTTGTGTTTTTTTGCTATATAATTTTATTAAATCTCTTTTTTGGAACTGTTTATTTAATATTATTAATTTTTCAGATCATTTTCAGAGAATATATACAGCTATAACTACTGTTTCATTAGGAATACAAGATCTAAACGCTCGTTTAACAATAGTAGAAAAACAAGTAAATCAACATAAACCTCCACCTACTTTGGATACGTCAAATATGCAACAATCTTTTCCGTTTAAAAGTATTAATGAAGTCATGGCTTTTGAAAACAATTTATCACAGAATGAAGACGAGTACAACAAATTTGTAAGTTAAATTAAGAATTTATTTATTTAAATGCAAGGTTCATCTGAATAGAACAATAGAAATTATATTATCAACGTATTTTATTTGTAAAGACGCAGTATATATCTCGCATAGGCGGAAGGTCCGCTAAGGAAAATTTAATTCGTATATACCGAACTTTATTCTCCAATGAAGTTGCCAAGCAATCCTCTTGGAAAGGACTACGTAACCATTTTAAAATTTGTAGCTTAAACTCTATAATAATGGGAATACAAGGTAAAATATACATATATTTATTGTTATATTTATAGAATGCAAAATTTGATTTTTGTTCAAAATCTCTGTATATAATTTATATATTTCAGCAACAATTTCGAGTCAACATCAATTCACGAACAAAGAATTTGAAGATATCACAAAGGAATGGTTTCGCCAAGGTGGTCAAAGGCTTAGCAGACAACAAAAAGAAATAAATAATCCTTAAACCGTTTAGAGAAGTTTTAAAGCTTGTTTATTTTTATTATGTTACTTTTGTCTCATATTACTTTATATTAGAGTCTAACGTGATAAAACAAAACTTTTTTTTAACAAATGTTCTTTTTTCGATATTGAATGATTTTAAGTTTTCAGAGATTTTCTTGTTCTAAGACTACAATAATAGTCAGCAATGTTTATTTTCATTATGATTTGAGTTCTGAATATTGTGAAACTTGTTAAGTATGTCTTTTATATAACAGAGTTAATAAATGTAAATTTTCATATTTCTATTTTTTTTAAAGCTTTTTTTAAAATTACAAACAACGTAATATTGTTTTTTAAAAATATAATTTGAATTTAAATATAATTATTTGCGTCATCACATTTTTTACGTTTTATTAATAAAAAGTAAAATTTAGTATATCTATGTTTACTTATTATGATATTATTGATATTATTAAGAGTTAATATTAATTGTATTTAAAAAAGCTCGTTTATATACAAAGAAGTATAAATGTATATAAAAATTCAATAAAAAAGTTTTTTAAATTCTTTATTTTTTTTAAGGTTTCTTGAATTCTTTATTTGAATAAATTACTACACAAATTACAGTCTTATAATAAATTTACTTTCATATTTAATTATATGTCTAATTCTTTCAATTATTACAAAAGATCAATTAAAAAGTTATAATTACTTAAAATAAATTTCATAGTTTGGGTTTTCTTAACAGAAAAACTTTCAATATATTTATAACTAATGTAGAAAAAATATTTTTCTATATTAGTTATCAATATATTTAAAGTTTTTCTGTTTGAAAATTGGTGGTTTTACAGTGTAAAAGTCAACGTATAATCACTGAAAATTGGTGAAACCATGAATTTTTGCAGTCATGATTTATTTATATTAATGATTAAAATTAAAAAAAACATTCTGTTACAATTTCGTAATTTTATACCTACATTTTAGGTACCTATTACATCATTTTTACGTATTGTATATAGCACAATGTTGCTGATATTTTGACCTACATATAACGTAATAATGACATAACGGTTATAGGAACATAAAACGTTTTTGTTGTGTAATTTTTTAACGTAAATGTTAAATGTTTGTTACATCTCTTTTTTCCGCCATAGTTACGTACTAGATATGGCGCAATGTTGCTGACATTTTGACCTAAACTTGATCTGAAAATGATGTAATAGTTACCAGAACAGCGAACAGTTATTCTGTAAGTGTTACATAAATGTTATAGAACAGTGTTTACTGGGATTGATATCCATAAAATACATACTTGTCAATCTTTATTTCTTTAACTATGTCAAGTAGCACCTTCATCTAAATTATTATACATATATTGCATTCATATCATAATGTAAAACCTTCCAAATTCCAAATTATTATCAGGAGACACAGTAGTGTCTTGGTGTTTTATCACTTACCTTAGAACTAACAACATCTTCATGACCGTTGCCAATGACCTGCCATGACCTGCAATATCTCCTACATTAAACACTA